TTCTGGCGCACTATGGCTGCCGGCGCATCATCCAGGTGGGGCTGCACACTGGTGGGGGTGGAGGGGATCCCCATGACCTGTAAAGCGCTTTGAGTGGTGTGTCCAGAAAAAGCACCATATTATAAGTGTAAGCAATTATTATTAACGCGTAACTCCCAACTTAATCCTCTGAAAACTCCTCCTAGCAAACAGAAACCTGGCTCTTGAACTGCCGATCCCTGCAGCTCTGCCCTGCAGGCTGCCTGTTACAACACTCAGCCCCAGCTCCTGGGCTCTGCTGGAAGCAGGGAGGGGGAGCGAGGCCTTTGATGCTGCTCATGTCCACAGAGCCCCAGATCACACAGGATATTGACAGTAACCCGAGGAAGCAGAGTCTTCTCTCCACAGCCCCATTCCCTCTCTCCGCCTACAAGGCATCACCATCGGCACTAATGCTCATCGACACAGCAGATTATACACTTTCTCCCCTTACACCCTCCATACCGGCCCCGCAGTAAGAAAGAGCTCAGTGCCTGAGTTCTCCCTCCCAGTTAAGCTCTCATTTACTGATCAGGAGCCTTAAACGCCAAGGTTATGATCTGCACGTCTTTAAGTGACGCTATTCCCCTGCGATATCATGCCAGTATAAAACAAGAGCAGAACGGACTGACGAGTGCAGCACAGCGAGTCCAGAACAAGAGTGGAAACGCAGCAGAACCTGTCTGGAGATCTACCATGGCCCAAGCCTGAGGCTGCTGCTAACAACATAAAAAAAGAAAGTCGTAAATAAACTCTGTGAGGGAGATGAGCTCCAGTATTGGACCCGAGATTGTTACCTGCCCAACGCTGCACACCTGTGGGGCTGGATTCACCCACAAGGGGCAACCTGCGATGTTGCCAGAATAACCCCCTCCTGTCCGGTCACACCCTGAAGCGCCTGTGAATCAGCTCACCTCTCGCAATCAGCTGAGGAGATCTTGTTTGCTGGCTGCCAGTAACCAGACGACACTTCCCTGTAGCACAGCCCAGAGACGCAAGCGCTCACGGGCCACGCCCCTCTCCTGCGCTCCTGCTCGACCCCTGCCCACTTCCACTCCTCCAATCTCCCTCCTTTCCCCATCGCTTCCTCTCTGTCCCAGTGCCAGGTGAGCTGCAAGCACCATCATTTACCAGTCAGGGCACACGCAGCTGTCGCAGGCTGAGGCTGACTGAATGAAAGCAGCGTTGTTAGTTCAATTAAGAGATGAGTTTAATAAAGAAATTGAGAGCTTCGCTGGAACGAAAACCAGAAGACACTGCCAACAGGGAAGTCCTGTGTGCCTGTCAAGGTCAGGCCGCGGGGAGCCAGGGGACACTGGCTCCTCCTGGCCCGACGGCAGGGACTGAGCTCTGGTCATCTGTTGCAGTGAGTTATA